AAAAAAAAAAAACAATCACTAATTTCAATTATTAAAGTTTTACTGTTTATCAGGTCAGCTCCAAGAGACGGTGCTTATATTCATGGGATATTTATGGAAGGAGCACGATGGGACGTGCAGTCCGGAGTCATAATGGATTCAAAAGCGAAAGAATTATTTCCAGCGATGCCAGTGATCAACGTGAGAGCGATTACGCAGGATAAACAGGATCTGAGGAATATGTACGAGTGTCCCGTTTATAAAACAAGAACTCGAGGACCAACCTACGTGTGGACTTTTAATTTAAAGACGAAAGATAAGCCAGCAAAATGGACGCTGGCGGGTGTAGCATTGTTACTTCAAACTTGAATAATAATAGTACTGAGATAATTGTGATGAAATGAATAAATTAAATGAAGAATTAACATGAGGATTAAATTTTCGTATACCGTTCGACGAAGAACGCATTAACACTGCATGATGCGTTCGGCGATGTGAAGCGATATCAAGCGTGTATTCAAAACGAGAGAGAGAGTGATTTTGAAGTCGAATCGATTAGTTTCTATAATATATTTATAAATCATTTGCAGGCCTATGTCTTTTAGCCTCAGAACAAACTGATGAAGTTTGATCGTTTAAAGTTTATAGACACACCCTGTATAATAACCGGTGACGTGATTATAGCGTTTCATACGAGTTCCAGCAGTTAATAACCGGCGACGCGACTGGTAGCGTCATTAATTTTCAATGGTTAGTAACTTATGACGTCACTGAGCGGCGTCATGCAATTTTCAGTAGTTTAATCCATAACGCGACTGTGGCCTCGTGTAATTTTCAGTAGTATCAGTGATCAGCGACGTGACTTTATAAATCTTCGAAAGTACTCGTCAGCAGTTACTAGTGAATGTCACTTTCGAAATTAATATAACATAATAGGCAGTTAGCTGTAGCGGTTCGAAGGAAACCAAACAACGATTCGTCCAGCGATACCGACAAATGGCCAGCCAAGGGGGTGAAGAGCGAGCAGAGAGAGAGAGAGAACGAAGAGAGAATAATTCAAGCGTGAATCTCGAAGGACCCATCGGACAAGACAGGATATCACGGGGCGAGCTAATCGGCCGAGAGTTAATAAACCGTAAGACGATAGAAAATCGACGCGAGGTCTCCGAGGAGGAGGAAGAGGAAGTCGTTCGGTTTCGAGGGACACAGAGTATTCCGTGATCCGTGGAGGAGGAAGGAATTATCCGTCGGTTCGGCGAAACAAAAGGTCCCAAGGATCCCTCGAAGGTTTTCCCAAAGAACGATCGATACTCGCGATACTCCGGAGACAAAACAGCACACCGTGTACGAAACGTTGGTGAACTTAATACAAGGAGCAGAAAAGAAGGAGTCAGTCGAGGGTCGTATAAAGAAGAGGGGAGAAAGAAAGGAAGGAAGGAAGGAAGGAAGAAAGGAAAAATGGCGCGAGTCTCGTAAGATGAAAACGCATACAGGATATAAGATTTGCCCGCCTCGGGGACACAAAGGCTTTCAGATTGCGGCACCGGATCAAAATTGTATCGTGTTAGCGAAAGAAATTAGATTTCCCTTCCGCGCGCAAGCAGAAACGATTTTTCTCTGCCGCGAGCGCAGAATGGAATCCTATCAAATATGCAGAGGTTATTAGCTCTCTCGAAGGAGAACGAAAAAATGTTTGCCCTCCGATTTTCCCCCGGTTGTGCTTCGCCGGTGAATTCTCTCTTCACTAGCCTTCCTTTCGTCCGGCTTCCCTTTAAGACTGAGGAACGATCAACTCTTGTTGATCAACTTGTTAACTAATGCAGGCGCACTGCTTGTCTCAAGGCCCGTTTTCTTCACTGGGAATTCTTTCCACTTTGAAAGTCTCCTCTTTCGAACTAACGACGTAACGAGCTACGTCAAAGTTCTTTGTTTAAAGTATCAAATTTTCCTCCACTCGAGAGAGTGCCAGCGTATAAACGTTTTTGGAAGGGATGATCAGAAACCGAGGTAGTAGTTTCGTCCGTGTTAATTTAGTTCTTTAGTTTCCCGAATACCGTATAAATTGACTCCGGCGGTTGTTTATCTCCAATACTCTTTAATGACGACATTAGGCGAGATTCGACTCGTATGAATCGACCTTTCTAAGTTAAAATACATAGGAAAATGATAAATGCAACAATTTTCTCTGGAACTTGGAATTCGTTCATGCTATTTCTTTATGAACAAATTTGTGAAAATAAGATTTACTTTCTGCGAATGTCGCATCTGGATAACACGAGATTGATCGAGACGATCAAATGTTCCTTTCTTCTCCACAAACTGTTACGAAATAACGATCAAATATATTTCAAATCGGATGAGAAGAAGTAAAGAAGATATTTCGAAATAATCTTGATTGAAAGAAATTCGGACTGCATGCTATACATGATGTTGCCTCTCGGGAAATCTAATTTTTTCGATCGATTCTACAATAAATTTCATACTTTACAAGTGCGCTGTGAATAATAATTCTATACTTGTAGGACGCACGTAACAACGTTATGAGAGTTTGATCAGCACGATACAACGGTGAAGCTGAACAGTTCCCGCGTTGAAAGTCAACTCATGAATCCCGTTGAATCAAAGGGAGAGAAGAGAAGAAAAAAGTGTCGGTCCCTTGCAGGGAGATCGTTGATTGGCTGCCAAACACCCTCCTCGTGATTCCTGCCGATCGATTGGCCCCTGGTGCACGAGGCTTCAATCACGGTTTTCATTAAGCCTCGCCGGACAACGGCGGCGAAAAGAGAAAGAGAGAAAATCGGGATCGAATGTCCGGTATCTCGTATGTCAACCCGGAGGAAGCTGTTTTCGTGGTGTTTCCACATTCGATCACGAGAGAAGCTTCGATCAATTAAAGATCGACCACTCGTTGCGTTCGATCATAGTTTTTCATCGAGAAAATTTTCTCGTCGAGTGACCGATGTTTCACACTCCTAAAATTTGTATACGATGTATTACCAGGAATTTTTAACTAACAAACGTTGAACGTAAAAGCTTGATCAATTGGCGAATTTATCGTTAGATTTGATTTATCGAATATAAAAGGACTCGACTGATTTGTACACCTAATAACCTGGATTTAATTTATTGAATAGCACTTAATTAATTTGCACGATATTGGATTTGACTGATCGAACACAAAAGCACGTAATTAATTTCTCTACACTTAATGTAGGATGGATTTTCTCGTTAAAGGATGGATATAAAATTACGCATTGAATACGAAAATACCTAATTAACTCTTTAATATCGAATGGATGTTACAAAATCTATTTTATCTCGAGAATTAAAGAAATTAATTTATTTCTTTACAAATATTTATCGTTCGTCAAAAGATTATTATAGATAATTCGTTGTATTTTTATAAGTCTTGCTTCGTTCTTTCACATTTTTCAAGATATTTCAGTTCTCGGTTAAATTGGATACACGTGTTCATTTCGCTCCATGATTAAAGAAAAACACAGAAATGATTTGTTTCATCTAGCTGAAGGTATAGCGTCATATAAAAACTTGCAAAAAACTAGAAATCTCACAGAAGGTAGTGGAAATTCCATTCAAATTCAAAGGGAATTTCTTGAATTTTATTCGAGTTTCTATCGAGAAAGATGATATTAAATTAAAATGAAAGTAATATTTCAGAAAATATCTTTAATGTATAATCGGAAAGAAAAAATCCTGCACATCAGTGACATTGAATTATTCTTCTACATTTTCCCCTAGATTTAAACAATTTTCTAACAACAAGAAAGCACGATTCGATCAAAGGTAATTCAAATGACGCAACGAAAATTAATTCAATAAAAAAAAAAAAAAAAAAAAAAGGAAAATCCGTAAAAAAACCAAAAAGAACATTTTCACCGATATGTCCCGCAGAATTTTAAAAATTCTGATATCGATTGGAAAATTGATTAGGTGGTGGATATTGCCACGGCCGTAAAACCGCAATTAATTTCCGGTTAAAACGTATCCCGACGACAGCTTAACGAGGCAATTTAACATCGAGTGGAACGATTACGCTACACACGAGTATTCGAGCGCATTTCGAAGCGGTATCTCCGGTATAATGAGCGATCGATAACCGGCGAATATAATAAGGACGTAGAGAAGTCGAGAGGCCTCGAAGAACCGCGGCAGTTCCTCCTCTTTGTCAAAGAATTCTTGGTAATCTTCCCCTCGGAATGCTAATTTGGCTGACGTTCGTTGGATCGTTCTCTCCGCGACTTTCGAAAATTCCTCGCTCCGAGCAGATTTTCCTAACCGTGCACACGTACGTGGCCGATTCGCGTATCCGCATCCGCATGGAACGCGATCGTTAACGCCGCCAGTGGCTCGTTAACGTGACAAATCGCTTGTCAAGACGACGTGTCGCGCCTCTCTGCCTCGTACGCTTTCGGATTAACGCTTTGTCTCGCTTCGTCTCCGCGCGAGTCCACCGATCGAGCTCCGACGATCGAATTACACACATACATCTTGCTAGATCCGATGATATTGGAGTTTAATTGGATCGCTGACATGTATGGATGGATTTAATAAATAGAAGATGGATTTGCGAAAGATTAAGGGGTGCCATTGTTTGATCTAGCATCTCAAGACTGAGGATTATTGAAGTTCTTTTCTTGCGTCGTGTTCGTCTTTCTTTCAGTTTTAGAGATTTGATTGTTATTAATATAGTAATAGGTTATGTGACACAGCTTAAAAGAATACTGCACGGAATGGTTCAACAAAGGAAAATGATACTATGAGTTTGGGAATTTTTTTTTTGTAACTAAACGAAAAATTAAATAATATCAGATTTCAGCATTACTTTCTGATCTTTTTAACACTAGAACTATCAAAATGGTCAATTGATAATTTTTGTTTGATATTCTATAAATATAAAATAGTGTGTTTTCAGACACTTGAATGATTCTTCGTAAAACACATAAATAAAAGCTTACGTACCCTATTGTATAAAGATTTTCTGTTTCCTTTTCTTTAATGTCTCTGATGGAAAGTTTATGCTCCAGTCATCGGTAGTTCTAGTGTTAAGAGAAAAATGACAAAGTTACTGAAATTGGACCGTTCCATCTCCTGAATAAATTAAGGCTCGAATATACGAACTACAATTAACGTTGACGAACGTGCATTTTAAACTCAGCAGTCGTAGACTTAAATGGCGGAAAATGTAGATCGTAATAAAACCATCTTGCCTCGGCTGTAGTAATCCTAATTTACCCATATTTAGAGAGCAACGACACTGCTTACGTATGTACCCCAGCAGCCTGTCCAAGAAGGGTAATCCTAGCCACGGGCTTGAAATCATTAAAAATGAGCGGGTAGGAAGAATTAACGATGCCTTTTGCCATCGTAAAAGCTAAGCTCGATTCATTTTTCATCGAGGACGTCACCGTGGGCTCTCGACTCTCCCGTTCCTTTGGGTAGGTTAATCATTTTTAAAGAGGCGACCGCAGGTGTTCTCCCTCTCCTCGTGACCTTATATTAGCAAAGAGAAAGAGAGAGAGAGAGAGAGAGAGAGAGAGAGGGCTCGTAGAGTTTCGTAGGCACGCGGGGCCAAGGTGGCTTCCGGGCCGAGAATTAAATTTTTCGCGGGAG